GAGGAGGAGGGGGAGAGGGAGGAGGAGGAGGAGGAGAGGGAGGAGGAGGAGGAAGAGGAGGAGGAGGAAGAGGAGGAGAGGGAGGAGGAGGGAGGAGGAGGAGGAGAAGAAGAGACGGAAGGAGAGGAGAAAGAACAGGAGGAGGAGGAGGAAGAAGGGGAACAGGAGGAGGAAGAGGAGGAAGAGGAGGAGGAGGAGGGTGGCCACCAGGAGACCAAGAGCCCTGTGCGCCTCTCGTAAGCAGGTAACAGCCGCAGTTGCTGCCACCGCTGTCATCACCACCCCGTGAGCGGCCGCAGCCAGGAGACCCTGAGTGGTCCCAGGCCTGGAGAGGAGCACTGTGCTTCCTGACCTACACAAAGCCAAGTTCACCCTGTGCCCTGAAAGAAAGGCTGATCATTCCCAGTTCCTGCGCTCAGTGAATTCAGCGTGACCTGCTCTGAGAAGGCTGTGTGCTGCCTGGGAGAGATGAGGGGACAGGGTGAGTGACCAAGTGGCCGCCTGAGGCTCCTGATCCGGCAGGAAGCTGCGGCGGTAGCATGTGCTCTGGGTGCGTGTCCGCCTGGGTTGTCAAGCAGAGGTGCCGGCTGTCCTGGGAAACTCTCCTTCCCACCCAGAGTGAAACTGCCCTCCGCTGCCCCAGCGGGCTGGTGTCCCCAGAGCTAAGTCCGTCAGCAGGATGTAAAAGGCAGTGTGGTGACCCCAGCCCTGCCCTGTCCTCGCTCTCTGTTTAGAACAGGGACGGGAGGGCTTGGGCTGCCCCTGAGTCCCACAGGGAAGGGCCACATGCCAGGGATGCCAAGCAGCAGGGAGTGCCCGGGTCCCTGGCGTGGTGAGGCTCTCCCAGGAAGGAGGACGCCGCGTCCGTCTGGGACTCATGACTGACCCCTCCTAGCTCATGCAGCTGGTAACAAGCCACCCCACACATGCAGGGAAGATGCCACAGCACTGGGTGGATGGCCAGGGGACGGGTGGCCCTGCAAGGCTGGCCAAGACTGACCCCGGAGTGGGGCTGTGGCCACAGGAGGGCGCAGGACCTCACAGTGCTGGAGGCCACCACTGAGCCGCACAGGCAGGCAGAGGGCGGGAGATGAAGAAAGGGCCGTGGCAGGAACGTGGGCCTCACCCTGGCAATCGCAGGGACACTCAGTGGCCCTAAGGAGGATCCTCTAGGAGCACACCCACCGCGTCCTGGGCTCTGCGCCGGGGCCACCTCCCAGAACTGCTCCTGCAGACTGAGCCCACATGGTGGCACCAGGACCCCGCCACAGGGAAGCTGGCAGGAGAACTCCCCAGCACCTGCTCGGACCCCTGCCCTCGTCCCGGCTGCGGCCTGCGTCAGACTGATTTATTTTGGAATGAGGATGAACCCCGGGTGCTCCAGCACTGAGCCACAGCCCCTCCTTTCTGCTTTTTTAAATTTGGGAGAGGGTCCTGCCGAACTGTGAAGGCTGACCTTGGACTTGCTGTCCCCGGCCTCAGCCCTGAGTCTCTGGGATCACAGGCCCTCCTTCCACTCTCTCAGGCCTCCTGTTCCTCTCGCACACCTGCCCAGTCCTGGCGTCTGGTTCTTGGAGGTCTGGGCCAACTCAGGCATCAATGGACTCTGCACAGTGGACAGCAGAGGTGACACTGCAGGGGACTCTTGGGAAGGCCGTCAGGGACAGGGAGCTGTGGAGGAGGCGCAGCATGTGCCTGCCCTGGAGCCACACAGGGCCCGGAGTCCTGCCGTCCGCCATCCCAGAGAGAAGCCGCGGCTTCAGGACGGTTCAGTGTGCACCAAGTCCTGCTGCCGGGACGCGCTGGGCTTGAACCACGGAGTCAGCTGGAGTCCTTCCCTCTTCCGTCCACAGTTGTGTGAGTGCTAAGGACCCTCTTACCACCTTTCAAAGTCCCAGTCTTCCCTATTTAGTGATGCTCGGGTTTTCTGATACGATTGTTGGTGACGACTATGGACTGGTATCTCCTCCCAGGAGGTGGGCTCAGGGGTTCCGGCCGCGGTGTCCTTTCACAATAGCCTGTGCGTCCACGAGGACCACAGTCTGCTGGCGTGGAGGACAGTGCCCTCACACCTGCCTCAGAGCCAGGCCAGCCACAGCGCCACCTCTGTCCCTCCCCTAGTCAGTTCTCAGAGCCACAGCACCGACTCAGCCCCTCACAGCGCACCTCCGTGGGATTCTGGGCCCCACCGCAAGGGCTCACCATGCTTCACCCTGACGAGGTGGACTTAACAAGGACCCGCAGCGCGCACCCAGAAAGCCTCCCAGTTCTCCACCCGGCCCTCTCCACTGGTAACCTAAGAAGCCTGGTCTGTCTGCAGCTAACGTCACCGCTCCCACCCTCCCCCACTGAGGGCTGGGTTTGTGGATACGAATTCAGACCCGGACTAGAGACCCCCGGGTGAGCAGAAGTCACCGCTCAGCCCCCATTTCAAAATGCTGAAGTCACTGAACGCTGTGTCTAAGTCAGTTTTTATGCAATTCACCCTGATACGTAAATCTTATTGAAAATTAACCTTAAATGGAACTTTCATTCATGACTGGGGGGTCTTCTAGGGCAGGATGAGAATAAAAGCTGATTTAAAAATATGTAGCTGCTCTAAGCCATTTGCACTGAATGGTTTTTATTGCTTTAAAATCAGTGAATAAGTCGGTTAAGATGGGTCTTCTAAGGTCACCATACGGGCCCCCTCGTGCTCTGTGAAAGCGTCTTTACGCTCAGGCTGTCCTGGAGGGACTGGAAGGCCACCGAAGGCCCTTCTCAGGCTGACAAGCAGGTGGTCTTCCTGAAGGAAGCGCCGCGCCTGTTCTAAGAATGCACCAGCAGAGGGCGCTGTGACCCCGAATCACTGGGCTCAGCCATGGGGGGACGCACAGGAAAGTCAAACCGCCAAGAGATGAAGTGAGTCACAGAGGTAGGCGCTGCTACACAGAGGTGTAGGGGCAGACGAGGATGGTTCGTGACTCTACACCTTTAAGAAGCATCATCCTAGCTCTTCTCTTATTCTCCTACGGAGATAAAGGTGAGGAGACAGATCTAGACGCACAGACCTTTACTTACATAAGTGACTCAGCTCACTCCAGTGGAAAAGCAAAACACAGACACCTCAGGGGCCTTACAGGCAACTTGCTAAACTATCACCAGAGATGCGACAGCACATCAGCGCTCTGCGAGGGTGGCGAGCTCCCTGACAGTGGCAGTGTGCAGACCAAGGCTGCTGCACACCAGGACGTGCACGTCACACGCGCAGCTCCAAACACGCAACACACGCCGACACAGGGCGCGGGAAGGACAGGGCCCGGGTGGACATAGGTGTCACTCACTGCCAGCAGGACAGAGGGCAGCGAGGGCCAGCCCTCATGTGAGTTATGACCTCATGGGTCTAAGCCCCAGGGCACTAGCAAGGTCTCTGGGAGAGGCCAGGCTGACCGCCTGACCTCCCCACCACGGTCAGGCTGGGTAAGGTGCACCTTCAGTATCAGTGAGCTGCCGTGGCTTCTGAGTCACCTCAGCCACGAGCAGCCCCAGATCCTTTAAAGGGAGGGAAGATCTTTCATCCTGCCAAGCTGCTACACTGACCGCTGGCCTGAGGGGTGTCATCGTGTCCCTGCAGCTGGGAACTCGACATCTGCTTTGTAGGGTCTAGAGATGACTTCTGTTTTACATGGCTTTTCACTTTTTATTAAAACATTTTCTTCCAGATCTTCTGGATGAACTATTTTTAAATGGATATAAGAGTCAAAGAAACCCAAAGGTAAACTGAGCTCCCCGCGGGGTCTCCGGCTCTTCATCTCCAGCCACCGCGCTCCGTCTACACCATATGGGAGCTGCACTGACTCACTTGGCCACTCTCATGCACTTACTTCTCTGCACTTGGCTCAGCCATTTAGAGTGAGCTGCGGACCCCAGGACACTGCCCCTGGACCCTGCAGCATGAGTCTCCGGAGCGGGGGACGTCCTCCCCAGTGATGGGGACAGGCTCCCTCGTCAGGATGCCCAGTGTCCACCCAGCGTCTGGATCTCCACCTGTGTGTGTGAGGGGCTCTTTTGATCATGGCCTGGTTCTGAACTGGGACCCCCGCAGAGTTCCAGTCCTGCCTGGGCTCTGGGCTCTGAGCACAGCACCTTCCTCCCACCGTGTCGGGGGATGGCACTTGTCTGGCAGAGGGTACGCAGCCGGGTGTGCAAGGAGGTCCTTTCAGAGCCATGGGCCGAGGAGCTCAGCACTGACGCTGACTAGAGGCCACCCCACCCGCCACGTGGACAAGTCTGGGAAAGGCCGGAACCTTGACGTCCCGGGGAGGCACAGCAGCCTCTGCTTCCACGCGAGGCCTTGAGATAGGACAAGGGCCACGGGGGAAAGGGGTCTTCAGCAGTGGAGAGGGAGCGAGGTGGGGAGTGGCACGGGGCTCCCCACGGCTTCTGCAGACTGGCATTCCTGAGGGTCTTCTCACCTGCGAGGACATGCCAGCTCGGCTAAGGGTGACAAAAGGACTGAGTGAGAGCTCTGGCCCTCTACCCTGAATGTGTCGCGGATTCTTCAGGAGGGACAGTGGCACCCATCCTCCATCCCATGAAGACCTTACGCTGCTCAAACAAGTCACCAGCCAAGACCCCAACGCAGGTTTGAAAACACCGCAAAACACGGAAAAGAGCTGGAGGGCCCTGGAGATCTGGTCTGTCCAGGCCCCGGCTCCTTCTGCTGCTAGAGCAAATCGGAGCAGGAACCTACGAAGTCCCCAGAGAGGGGCGAACAGGCTCGTGAGCAAAGGTGCTCAAGACGCAGTACTCCTGGGTCCTCATGAGCTCGTGCACAGTCACTCCACACCCAGTCCCACACCGGTCACCCCGGTCACTGTGACACGGTGCACAGACAGGCCAGTGCAGTGGAAAGCCTGGGGCTCCATCCCCACAACACCGTGGGGAAAACGGCCCCAGGGAGCGTGCTGAGCCAAGCTGGCGTGAGACCCCGTGAGAAGGACAGATGGTCAGGCACTCACCTTGCCAAGGTGTCCGCGGAGCCTGCCTCTTCACACTCCATGTGAAACACGCTAGAAAAGGAGTCCTGAAACAGAAGACGGGAGGCTGAGGCTTGGCGTCGGCAGAGCGCAACCCAGGCGCGGGCGGCTGCTCCTGTCCTGCTGCCCCAGCGAGGCCCGGCTCACGCGCAGGCTCTCGCGGCTGCTCCCCACGTCTCGTCTGGTTTTGACGGGCAAGAAGGCCCACCGCAGCCCGCGCTGGTCCACTGCTGTCCCACCAGGGAATCCTACCCGGATGCTGTTATTACACACAGGCAACGTGCCTGTGGGTCACACGGTGATATTTTATCATCACTGAAGTAACACGAAGACTTGGGTGCCGTAAAAATCACCCTTGAAATCACACTTAAAAAGCAAGACGCCCATCTGCCCCGTGCTACAGTAACACCTGAATAAAGGAGAACTGGAAAGGACCATCAGAAGGGGGTGTGATCAAGGGCGTTTGGAGAGGCTTTGATTTTATTTTTGCTCATGTCGAAATATTTTAATGCATAGATAACTGCAATAGATATGAACCAACAAGGCACCTGATTCCCTTTGTAAATGTAGCAACGTAAGTTGTAAAAAAGTTAGCAAAACATATTCACGGCTTCTTGTCATCTGTAGTCCAAGGCACCGCTTTTCCAAATCAGCGTGTTACCACGCAGGGTGCGACCCGGCAGAAGCTCGCACTGAATATCCATGAAAGTGATATTTAAGATGTTTAAAAATAAGTGCTTCATGTATAACTTTCAAAAATTAAATGCCAAAGAGCAGGCCGTGAAGGCTGAATCTGACATGGGCGTTAATGGATGCTGACCTGAACTTTAAGGCTGACAACTGTCTTGTGATCAGCTCTGCGTCAAGGGTTTCGTGACCAATTTAAAACGTGAAAGAGCACCTATGGACATGCGGACTATCTTTTTAGCACAGTGAATTTTCATTTGCTATCCTTTTGAATCAGCCACTGTGACACACACACTCACACACACACACTCACACACACTCACACGCTCATACACACACACTCATACACACAGATGCACACGATGACGGGCCACACAGCTTTCCAGCTTGTTAAAGTGCCTGGTTGAATGCTTTTCTATCCTACTTTCCCGGTGCCACACGGACCCACGTGGACGCTCTTCCCAGTTCCACGGAACTGCGTGGTCTTAAAGGAAGAAGGACCACGTCGGAAAGAAACGTGCAGAGGCGATGCTTCCTGGGTCCAGGAGGCTCAGAGACCGCACAGAGCGCAACAGCGAGGGCCAGGACTCGACTCTCCTGCCAGACTCGGGCAGATGCCCGTCTGTGGGTGGCCAGCACTGGTGTGAGCACTCCCCTCTCCCTACACCCTGGGCTTGTCCTGTGCCTCCGCCAGCAACAGAAAACTGCGCTCTAGAGGGTAAAGTCGGCCTTAGGAGGTGGGCAGTGGTGGGTCGGGACGTTGGTGAAGGTGACAGCATCTGTGATTTCATCACCGTGAGTACCCCGCTGGGAGGAGGTGCCCAGCGTCACCAAGCCTGCAGAGGGCAAGTCAGACCTTGTCAGTACTGACAGGTGCCAGACTGGTCAGTGCCTGGAGTAACGGCCTCTCTGGGCGACACCTGTGGTTTGCAAGACCCTGTGGGAAAGGGAAGCTCTTCACCCAGCACTCAGAGCCAGGTCCACCTGCTTAGAGCAACAGGGCACCCCACCCTGCCGTGGAAATCGGCACTCCGCAACGACTTCTTCCCATCCAGAGGTGTTCATCACCTCGCCACCTACACAGCGACCTGAACAGCGTGGCCATGGGCTACGCAGTGGACACCGTGTGGCCGTCGCCATGGTACCTACGCAGTGGACACAGGGTGGCCATCATCATGGTACCTACACAGTGACACAGTGTGGCCGTGGCCATGGGCTACGCAGTGGACACAGGGTGGCCATCATCATTGTGCCTATGCAGTGACACAGTGTGGCCGTGGCCATGGGCTACGCAGTGGACACCGTGTGGCCATCATCATGGTACCTACACAGTGACACAGTGTGGC